CCGGCACAGGTCCTCCATCCAGCTTGGTCTTGAGCCACCACCGCGGCACCTCCCCACCATCGACTTAACGCCCTGGGCATGGCAGCCACAGCCGGCCGCGCGAAGCACGCGGATGCCTTCGCGGGTGCAGGAGGCACCGGCGAAGGGTGGATTCGATCGGTGGTTCGATCGGTGGGATAGTGCAACTGAGCGTTCGAACATGCACAGGGTCAAGGATCAAACTCTAACACCGGCGTGTTAGAGACTCACAATTTCCTACGTACTTCGGAAAGTGGAACATGTTTCGAATACTCGTAACATCAGCACAATTTGGAAGGGTCACCCTGACTTCTTGAGTGGAACTTCCAAAGAATTGACAAGCCACACCGTTTGTAGCGGCTGGCACGGCCAAACGCCGAATCACCCAGCCTTGGTGAACTGGTCGGATGGAGGAAGGTTAGGGAACTAGACGAAGCTGCCTTTGGCGCCAAAAAAGAAAAAGTGACAGGCACCCCCCCAATCGAAGCGTACCAGCAGGCCACCAATGGAAGCCCCTACACTACTAAGGGACCTCCATTGGACACCCCTTGAAGGTCCAGGAACCAAACATAGATCCCAAAAAGGGTTTTCTAACAGCTGCACGATGACTATGCAGCACAAGACCGTGTGTTTTGCAGCCAGGCATTTGAGTCCTTCAAACCTGCGACTTGGCTGCTTGGAGATGGAACGAGACCAACATGGTCGCACTTTGGCTAGTCTAGATTTAGGCTGTGTGTGTGTGTGTCTACCCGTGCGGGATGTTATCCTATCGTATGATACGAGCGTCAGGTCTTCAATGAGCTTGTGGCCACGCTTAAGCGGGAAGCTGTCCCTGATCACATCATCTGAGCGGGAAGCTGTGCATTCGCGTACACGTTGTGTTAGCTTCTGCTCTCACTTTCTTGGGTCTGAAAAACCAGGATGGATTGTGTACAGAACAACATGTTGCGTGCTGTAAATCGAGCCCTAGAAGATCTTTGGGGAGAAGAAACTCGGAGCCAGTCGTGTTCAATTGGTGCGGAAGATGAAACACCGGTGTTTCTACCCATGATGGATTCGGGTGTAATTGAAATTTGAATCGATATGTTGACACAGCTCCTATTCTACAGGTAAACACCGGAAAAAATGAGATCATTACGACACATTGTGACTTATGAGCACCAATTACTGGGCCGCTAAGTTTGTGTATTATGGAACCATGGAAGTGTGAATCAAGCCTTTTTTGATCGCCAGTTCCTTGTCTATATACTTGGTGCCAAAAACTGCATGCCAGTCTGACCCCAGACCACACCGCTTCGGAGTTGGTCACCTAAAACACTTCGTGAGACGAACCAGGGACTCTGAAATCTGCCTATGGCTGACCGACTCTACATCTACCATGATCTACCTACCAAGTCGTGACTTGGGGAGGCCTTCTTCTTCGTAATGCAAGAACTGTTTTTGTTTGTTGTGTGTTCTTGGTTGGTGTTGCTTCCTACATAGCAGGCCCTCAGTCTTTAGTCTCAGGTTCGTGGCTCTCTTCATCTCTTGTACCAACCCATTTCATCAACATTCGCCAGGTCTGACCACTTACATACTCGATATGTCGATTTGTGTGTGTTCCTTTCGGGTTCACCGTCGTCCCTGAGGCCTCTTTGGCCTTTGTGGGCCACCACGCAGGCATGTCCTTGGAACCGGCCATGGCCATGGCTGCAGTGCTTGCGGAGCTGGCAGAGGAAGAGAGGCGAAGCGAGACCGCGAAGCGGCGAAACCCAGATCACCACCAACGTGTCAATCCTTAGGTGGTTTATGTTGAAGAAACTTCTGGGTCAGTTTGCAGTTGTGGAATCTGCTGGAGCACTCTCGGTTGTGGTTGAATCCAGAGACTTTCATGGGAATATCACTGGACCTTGCTGCAGGAATCAGTTGGACCTCATGTCGGATTTCAAAACAAAACTTTGCGCCTGCGAGCCGGACACTCTGCAGGCTTCAGGTGTCTTTCTTCGGGCAGCACTATGCATGCGAGATCATCCACCGGTGTGATCAGGAGAGCCGATTTGTTCTGCGTTATTCCGACAGAGGCAAGGCACAGCCGTAGGCGAGTTCTACACCACCGCAGGGATGTTGAGGGTCTGAAGCAAGGAGAGGCGAATCCTACCGATTCCCAAGAGCTGTTGCTATTGCTGCTGTCCTGCTTTGTGTGAACGATGACGGACATCATGCCGTCCACAGTCCACATCGAACTTCTGAGGGTTGGAGGACAACGAGAAGCTCGTCATCCAAAAGGGCCTTTGTATCTAAAGCTTCTTCCGTTGAACAGTGACAGGTGCGGTCTTCAACCTTGCTCCAAAAACCTGTGTCACATCCTAAAAACCCATCACAACAATATCAGCCGTTTCGCCAGAAACCATCCAGGAAGACCCAACTCTCAACCGCCCAGCTGGAGTCCGAGGATGCCCTCCAAGAGGTCTTCCGGCGCTGGATGTTTCAGCCCGAGCTTCGCGAGGCGTTCGGAAACGCAACGCGCGTTTCCGGGTCGCATCGCGCGGTTCGAGTGGTTTCAGATGGGTGGCCCCTTGAACTCTGGGGGGGTCAAGATTTGCATTCAGGTTCATGATGGTTCATGAGTTTATTTGGTTTGTTGTTGTGTCATCATGTGTCCGTGCTTTTGGAAAGTCCAGAGTCCATCCACAACATTTGTTGAAGCAACGGAAATCACCGAATGCCTTGGAAAATTTGGAAAGCTGGAAGAACACTTCAGTGCAGGGCCACCGATGCACTTGCAGTGCATCAAGCCACCTAGCTGGGGGAGCAGAATGAAGCTGCTAACTTCAATCACAACTGGCTTGGAGAGCCATGCCTTTTCCTGCGTGGTAGCGACTGCATATGCTCATGAGAATACACAAGACGTGTGGTCCAGTGGCTCCAAGTTCTTTGGCTTAATGCACTGTACTAGATCTTTGCTTACATAGTTTTCAAGAGGTGTTGAGTTTGGAATACCAGAGCAGAAAGCGGACTGGCAGGTAGCTTCGTGTCCCAAAGAAATGTCGGGTCGCTGACACCTCTTACAAGTCGATGTGTAGAGAAAGGATGGTCGAGTTTGTATTGGGCTGAGGGAAGTTGGAGGTCTTGGCGCTTGGCGCTTGACTTAAACATTGAGGATGGAACATGCAGTACTTAGCTCACTGAGTAGCTCATTGCTGTTGTGTGTGTGTGTAATTTGTGGCTTTTTTTTGCGGCTCTGCCAACAAGTAGCTTGCCGCTGACTCAAACGCGGTGGAAAATGCGGCTTTTGCAGAAACCGGCGGAAAACCGCGCAGGATCTCGGGCGGCGCACAGCGACACCTGTGGTGTGGCCAGAGCTCCAAAATGCGGTGCAACAAGAGCCACAGCTGCTGCAGGAGGGGATGAGACGCGGGTAACGCAGCGAGACGCATTTCACATTTAAATGAGATTGAACAGTGGTTGATTTTGCCAGGTGGTCTTGACTGGCCCTCGCTAGGAGAGAACATTAACAAGTCTTGGCTTTGGAATCGTGAGTCGCAAAACGTTCTGAAGTCGAGAGTCGCACCGTCTTCAACCGTGCCTTCCACCGTGCCTTCAACCATGCCTTTCAAGAGAGGCAGACGTTTGGGTTTGCACTGGGATTTGGCCACTCTGCTGGATGCTGCAGAAGATCTCCCAGCAGCCACTCGGACCCGAAACACAGACAGACAGGTCGACGGGGTGGCCATCTGATCCGAAGAGAGATCCGGTCGCCCCGATCCGCCGAAAGAGAGATCCGGTGCAGAGGCCTGGTTGAAATGATGTGGATTGACTACGAATTAGTGGCCAAAATGATCTGCGATGGCTGACGCTGCAAATCAGGGTCGATGCTGTAACGTGATTCCAAAACCTTGCTCACCAAGGTGCTGTTCAAATAAAATGAAGATGCGCTTTCAAGCAGTTTTTGAGACCATCACCGTTCACCTGTCCTACTGCTAAATACGTTTCTGCAAGCATGCTGAACATCATTTTGCCTTGCCTCCTGGACCATGCTTGTCACATGATGAGGCCAGTCCTCCACTACATGGTGAACTGGATTGTCGGGGAGCACACACCACAAGAGATTTGATCGCATTGAAGAGACTCCTTTGTGTCCAGTTGTCACTCATTTCCTGCTGAAAAGGCAGCCGGTCACTAGCATTATGTTCAAAGAGGTTTTGAAGGAATTCCCCCAATGCTGTAGCAAACAGACAAAGCTCCCACTAACACTACGAAGATCACTTTGCATGTTCTCCCTGCTCAGAACCCAGCCAGCTCACGATGAGTCTTAGCACATAATGTTCGCGACATGTCATTCAATGAGAGGCATGCGGCATAAGTTACAGACACTTCAGTGAGCAACTGTGGAAGCTAAACATCACCTTTGCCTTCAACCCCAGTACCTTCAGCAGTCAGGAATGGCACGTGTCCTTGATGACGGAAGCCGCACGCATCGGAGCAGAGTCTCGGTCGGGCTAAGCCGCGAACCAAGCCGCGTCGCCCCATATGTGGGTTGCATGTCCTCCCTGGTGGCTACGTCGTGGGTGTTTCCAGCAAGTGAGCTAGCGAAGTCGAAGCACTAGTCGAAGGACTAGTCGATGTGGCAGATGTGCAAAGAGGGACCCTGGCAGATGTGGCAGATATGTCGACGTCTTTGAAACAGACAAAGGAACATGAAGACACCCACCACTGGGCGTGGGGCAAGACCTGAAACCGATGTCTTCGGCGTGGCAGTGGGTGACCCATTTTCTAAGACCCGCACCGCCGAGGGGAGACACTGCGTCAGATGAACCAAGACTAAGACCCTGGGGTGACCAGTAGTTGAAATAGAGGCACCGAGGCACCTCTACTGAGGCACCCCTTGTCATTTGGGTACTGCTTGGGTATAACAGTATGTGCTGAGTTAGGTGTGCTGAGTTAGGTGTATGTCCATCCTCTCGCTTTCAGCCTCTTGCAGCCATGCGCATTGCTAGGAGAGCATGGCTGCTGGAGAGAAACATCATTTCTGTACCACAGCCTGGGCGCGGCTGAGCATCGACATTTCCTACCTGGTCGGGCTGAAGGTGACTCCGGGGAGATGATGAGTTGTGACAGTCGTTGTGACTTGCTGGCTCTTTGCGACAGCCACAGCCCCCGCACTAGCTTGGCCAACCGGGGAGTCCTTCTGATTTCAGATGAAGCTTCCTTCAAAGCATTCGACTCAAAGGTGCATCGATTTCAGAGCGAGCAGTGACTAAGTGCGCAAGAACTCGACTCAAATAGTGCGTGACCAAAAGTCATGTGAAGGTGACAAAAGTGACAGACTCTTTTTGGATTCTGATTTCTTTTCTCGTCGCAAGGTACCCCATGTGGCCACCTTGGGTTGGCACACCTCACTGCACGCGGGCCCCGGCCTCCAGTGGCGCGCGGGGCCTTTGGCCGCGCGCAAAACGGCCTTTGTGCCCCGGAACGTGCTGACACGGCGGGTACAAGGCGGGCGCGAACGGTCCGACCGAAAGCTCCGTGCACCTCTTCGGGGTGCGTGAGAAAAACCAAGAGGGAAGAGGTGATGCGCCGCAATCGCCTCGCTGGACCAAGTGAAAACCGTCTGAGTCTTAGGGGTCCAATCAGTGTTATGTAATATGACTATACTGGAGGAACAGCCACAGGTGTGCCTGGAAAGCAAGCAGATGAAGGTTGGGAAAATTAGGAAAATAGAAAAGGAAACAGTCTGCAAGGTCAGCTGTTTGCTGCGATGTTGGGGCACTTCAACCAGTTGCCTTGGGTGCAAAGCGCGGGCATTGAAGTTGAGGCTTGGGAGATCTGAGGCCCAGTCGTACCTCTCAGTTGATAGGTCAAAGAACGGAAGATGGTGGAATGGCCGGGTGATTTGACTGAAAGAAAAGAACGGAGTGGCAGACATATTGGCAAGGCTTCTATTCACACTACGTACTGAGCAGAGATGGATTTAAGACGATGCATCACTGGCTTCCGCAGGTTTGGCAAGGAGGCTTCGAGAGCATCAACCGCGATGCTGGTGATCCTTGGCGGGGCCAGGCAATGACAGCCGATGTGAAAGAAAAAGAAAGGTTGCCTAGAGATGGATGGCATACTTGCATATCTGGGGGTATCCTGGCTCAGAGTCATGCGGTCTGGAAGTATACCAGAGGGGGTTAGTTAGTTGTGTTTAGCCTGGTTTAGCATGTACAGATGCGTTTGGGTACAGTAGTGGTTGGTCTTTTGAAGAAGCACCAGATGGTGTGTGCCATATCTGCACGACTTCGTTGCCTTTGCCATGGTTTGCTGTGTCCTACGTTTTGTCCGAAACCTTGGTTGTTTGATGCGTTTTTGTTGTTTTTTGTGTCTTCAAACGAAGGGGTCACCCACTTCTGGCGCCCCACCCGCAACACATCTTACCTTCGACCTCGCAGGCGCACGGAAGGATTTGGTGGAGTGACGCCGTAGAGCCTCGAAGCGAAGAGAGGCCTTGGCCTTCGCGAGCAGCACCGGAGCGAAGGAACCACGCGGGGGGGGGGTTTGAAACCATGCAGGACCATGTGTGCGAGAGTTTTGTTTTTCTCGCGTCGTAGTTCTTCGCTAGTACGCCATGGGGTAGCTTGTATGGATATGTTCGATCAACACGGAAGTTGGTCATCTCTTTCGCGTTCAAAACCATCTTATCATTCCTGAAACACCAGGACACAGGTACGGAGCCCCTTCTGAGCCAAGGCGCTTTCTGAGCCCCGATGTTGGACGCTGAAGCTTCGATGTTTGACCAAGGAGTATATGGCAGCCGTATATTTGGCTGGTGACATCACCCTGCTGACCTTCAATGAGCTTTATGCCATGCAGGTGGGCAAACTTGCTCAAGGCGGCGCAAATTTACGTTGCTCCGGCGCCGCCTTTCTCGTCGCGGGTCGCGAAGTAGCTCCGAAAACAGCCTCTTTCGTCGCGCTGTCCTCCTTCTTTACATGTTTGGTAAAGTTCCTTGAACTCATGTCCATTTGCCAGTTCAAAAAGACTTCAACTTGCTCCAACGACGAACGGATTGAACAAAAACACCCGCTGCGGGTGGGCCAACGTGCACTTTCATGAGAGCTCCGTTGACCAGGTGCCCACGTTGGTCCCAGAGATCGGCTGGCAAGCCAGGTGGGGCAACTCGCGCCCAACAAGGGTGAAAAACTGGTCAAAAGACCAAAAGCAACGAAAAACAAACTTTCGGGTGTCCTTAGAGGGGAGCCCTTCTTTTCCGTTTTCATCCGGACATTTTGCTGGATCGTGGATAGTAACTTGGTTTTTCGTTGGACCGTTTGAGCTCTTGTCTCTTGCCGTATGGCACCTCCATGAAAACACGCGTTGTCCGAAGCAATAGCAATATGGAATGCACATGAAACGTTAGCGCTCCTGAGCAACTGCATGTTTCCAGTAAGCAATAGCTCAATGAAACGTTAGCACTCCTTGTCCGTTTGTGAAGCATGCCCGGCCTCCAAACGGACTAAGCATCGGCCGGTCCCAGCATCGCACGAGGATCATGGCCGACATGTGCAACACTGGCATTGGTTGGTTCTTCAAGCATTCGCCCCTTTACAACTTGCCCGAGGGTGAGGAGACTCTTGGAATATCGCGTGGCATAGTTTGAGTTGAACCTCACCTTCCCTCAGTATTCTCAGTATTCCTCCTTCCACACATGTTATTTGTCCATATCCGTCCTTCCACATGTGTTGTTTGTGTTTGCTTTTGAGACCTTTCTTCGCACCTGTGATTTGTTCCTTATGCTTCCTTTCTTTGTTCCCTTCCGACCTTTCTTGTTTTCCAACCGACGGAATCTGCTGGTTGGTCATTGGTTGGTCACAGGTGCTATGTGTTCCATATCTTGAGCAAAGCTGGATAAATTATGGGGCTTTGCGTGGAGGTTCGTTGACAATATATTCTATACGTGGAAACAGAAGCGTTTCTCAGTTTTCCTATTTGCTATGTGAGTGCATTCGTGACTATAGGACTTGATTGAAGGGCTCACAGCTTTGGATGTGGGCTCCAGGGCTCATGCAACAGGGCAGCAAACACTGGGCAGGCACCGAACAACACTTAGGGCAGAAAAGCACCAGAGCTGTTGTCATGTGCAGCCCATCAACCGCAAGCAACCCAGCAACACCAATCTCTCTAGCGAGGCCAGGGAGGCATCTACATGTCCAATTCAAGGTCGAAGTTTTAGGACAAACCATGAACTTGTCCCCTTTTTTTGCTGCATCCCTTCAGGAACGTCGCTGCTCGGGTCACCAAAAAATGCAACATCCCAGCAACATCCAAGCGAGATTTCAATGTCTCAAAATTCAAAAGATCCAGCTTCCATCAGCTTCCAACCTTCTAGCGCTGTCCTCCAACCTACTAGCGATGGCTTCCAACCTACCAGCGATGGTTTCACACCAACCTAGCGATGGCCTGGTAACCTACTAGCGATGGCTTCCTGTCCTTCCTTTCCTTCAGGAACTTTGCCTTCACCCCCTGGGGCTGTGACTCCCTGGATCGCTTGCGCTATTGGCTCCAGACCGCGGATGCCTGGCGCGCCTTGACTTGCGTCATGCGTCGCCCTTGAGTCGTGTGGGGCCCCGTTAGGAAAAAGACCCAGATAGATGCACAAGTAGGAAGTTCTGAGAAATCACACCCAAAAAATCAAAAAAAATGTGTTGTTTGTGTCTTCAGAACTTTTGGACACTCCAGTGACTCCGGACATCATTTGGATGATTTTGGGGAGACCTCAGCCTGAAGCTGTGCCGATGTCGTTGTAAAAAATGCCAAAGTACTACTTTAGATACTGAAAGTATCCAATTGAAGTTTCCAATTGAAGTACTTCGAAAGTTGCCAAAGTAGCCAAAGTCAAAGTAGCCAATTGAAGAGGCACCCAGGAGCTGGAGAATTCGCAAAAAGAGTTGCTGACTCAGCTGGATGAACATGTGTGCACCACCGAGTTGTCGGGATGAATGAGCGAACCAAAGCAATGACAGGCATGTGTCCAGGCCAGGTGGTGGCTCCAAACAACTAACGACCCTGGTTCTTTTGACGGAATATTTCGCACATCTGATGACCAATCGCTGTGCCCGGCAACCATCAAGACCCTACAAGTATGTGTCGTCTTTCACTGTGGCCTGGACTTGTTTTAGTTTCGGTTCACTCATTGCTTTGTTTGGCCTGCAAGACCAGCAGAAACAAGAGCACATCAGTTAGAGCGTTGGACCCTTTTCAGATGGCAGGTTCGGCTTCTCGATGCTTCTCAGTGGATCCTGCGGCATCAAGTTGAGAATCATTTGGGTGGATGACTGCTAGGGTTAGGATCATCTAGGATTCGTTTGGTTGGTGAACTTACCCTCAGAATGGAATTAATTCATCCAGTGTTTAGTGACCCCTTAATGATTGGCCCTGCAGTGCAGTTGATAGATAGCCGATCCTGCAGCTCCAACATATTTTTACAGGGAGACCCCCAAGCAATGGGTGTTGGTCTATTTTCCTTCTTCCAGGGGGTCGTTGCCTGGGAGGTCTTCCTTTTAAAATACCCTTTTGTAGCTCAATGACCCCTTAAGGACCCTTTGACAATTGACAACCACTCCGTCCACTGAAGGCTATCCTCACGTGGTCCACGTCACGTCTTTCGTGGACCTCTATCAGCACTTGCTGCGCTGGGCCAACGACCCTACTGAGCCCCAAAGGCCACGGTTGAGAGAGAGCTGAAGCGTGTAAACAGCGTGGTCTTTTGGGTGTGCATGTGATGATGTGATGTGGATGCGATGCAGATGACCAGGGGTGTCAGATGTTGTCATATCATATGTTGATTCATCCTAGTTCTTGTTGATGACGTTTCAGTGTTTGTCATAATGTCTTTAAAAAATGCTGATTTTGATGTTGAAATCATCACAGATCATGATAGCATCAGATAACTCGGAATCTTCGTTAGGAGTGTTCGGTGATTTTTGGTACGTGCCCAATTCGTGCCCAATTGCTCCACCTGGGCTGTGTTGCTTTGGAAAGAACTTTGTGATCTCAAGTCCTGATGCAACCTTCTCATGGCTTTGATGACTGCTCATCCCGTTGGGCACTGTGGGGCCGACGACGTGCAATCGAGGCGAAGCGAAGCGATGGCAAAGTTCCATCTGGATTTGAGTATCAGGAGACCAAGCGGAGGTCGTCGTGACACCAAAGACCTGAGTTACTCATGTCTCAACCTGGATGTTTCCGCTTTGCACCATGGATGACCATGGCCGTGTTGAATCATAAGAACTCTTGCAAGGGAAGGTCCCGGGATGTCAATTGGAAGCTTTTGGAAGCGGTTGAGATGAAAGCAAAAGGATCTGAAAAGACAACTGGATGGTGATTGTTACTCTTGGCCATGCAATAGCCCAGCCTATTTGGGGAATTGAATCCTTAAAAAGAATATATATATATATATAAACACCAAAGCATCCCAAAGAATTGGTTCCTTCTTGTTCCAAAGCGTCTCCAGGAGCCTGGCTTACTTCCGCTCACTCCTCGCGGCCAAGTTGCCCCTGCCGGTGGTCGAGGCCGATGTTGTTTTTTTTGCGAGAAAAAGTGAAATGGTGAAGTGTGTGGATGAAAATTGTTGAAAATGCTTGAGCTTGTGAACTGTTGGTAGGCCAGGATGTATACGAAAAAACGACAAGCAAGAAGATCCCATTGTGAGCGCAGTACTGGAATGGCTAACACGTGGTTTTCCAAGGTTTCTCATTCGTTGCAGACTCTTTGTGACCGGGAATCCCGGAAACGCCATGTCGCGGTTGACCAGGAAATGCCTGTTTGGTCGTTTACCCCCCATCCAGTCTGACCGGACTCCTCCTTCGCATACTTCGCTGAGTTCCGCTCCCGCGTGAGGCGCCCACGTCCAAAGGTGTCGTGGCGGCGCTTCAGGTTTCAGCGCTGCACACCTTGCGCAGGACGCGAGCTTCGCGAACGCGAAGGCGAACGCGACGCGAGCAACCAAGCGAGCTTCGCGAGGCGACGACGAGGCGAAAGACTTCGGGGCGGGACAAGTGGCGCTCGGTGCCGCGAGATGGATGGGGAGAGGTGGGAGAGGTTCGGCGCTCGGTGACTTGGTGAGAAAGGCGCTCGGAGTCCGAACGAGTCCGGGGGTGTGTGGTTCGTTCGCTCATGAAGAGAGAGAAAGAGGGAGAGAGAGAGAGATGAAATGAATCCTGCCACGTTTCGCAGGTTAAGTCAGTCACGCTGTTGAGATGTATGTGCGGTCAATGAAGTAGTTCAAGGTTGGTGTGAGATGTATTTGGGTGGTTTGACTTTTGATATACCTAGACTACCTAGACCAGAACTGCTGATCAGATGGTATTGGATGGTTCTGAACGTTCGATCAAGATCGAAATATGGCATATGATCAAACAAAAGATTGTTGTTTTCTCTTTATGTCCCTTTCGTATGCATGCCCTGCATACCAGAACGGTAGACCACTACCACCAACCACCTACAAGCTGCCTGTTGCGTACCCAACTTGGGGGGTCACGAGAGGAGAAGAGTCTTCCCGACCTGGGACGTTCGAAAGGGACGGGGATCGAGGCCGTTCGCCCCCCAAAGGGGGGCCGTTCGAAGCAGGTCACATGGGTTCCTCAACTCCTTGCCCATCCTTGCCCCAACAGCTAGTGCCTCATCCTGCCGATCCTCGGTGGTTGGACCATGCACACTTGGTCCGATGTCCTCAGGAGCTTGAAGTTGCGACCAGCCAGGCCACTCGGAACACCGAGGACCTTGCTGGAGCTGGGCGAAGAGGAAAAGGGAGCGGGTGCTGTTTGAACGTCACCGGTGCTGTTGCGTCCCGAGCTCTCTTGACTCTTTTTGTCCATGTTTGTTGGAAAAAGCAAGAGGGGATGAACCAGCAAAGCATCCAAAAAGGCCACGAGCGGTGAAGACTCTGTTTTTGCTTCCACGTGCGGGTGAACCGACCGTGAAAAACCCAGTCCCGTGATCTCTTTTTGGGAGCCCAGACGCCCCACCTAAAGCCCTGACGCCGGTCAGAGATGAGCGGAGACGGACACCAGGGAGTGCAGGTGGTCCAAAATGAGACGAAATGTCTAAGAATGTCTAAGACCTTGGGAGAGCATACGGGTGGGGACGGCGTGCCAGAAGAAAAATTAGCAGAACCCGGTTGGGGACCCCCGACTCCTCCCGATTTTGAGACCAACCCCGCAAGCCAACGGGGCTTCCGTTGAGGCAACAGGGGGCGAGCCACCACATGTCCAGAAGCCAACCTCTTTCAACTTAGCTTTCGGACTAAAAAGTGACTTTTGGCAGAGTCATCGAGGTATGACCAGTACTCAAGATGAAGGACCATCCGAGCCTGGTCCAATTGTGCATCCCATGGCTGTTTGGCTTCAGCTGTACAGGAAAAGCATGCAAAAGCCATAGAGACAGATCTAAAACGGAAGAAAAGATTGTGTTTGGACGTGTTTAGACTTGACATTCACATCTCCCACGTGTCTTTTTCTCATGCTGTGAAGACATGAAACGTGAAGATTTACCGTTGTGCGGCGTATTTTCCACCATCAATGAAGGGACTGAACAGAGCGAAAACGATGCCCGACAGCCTGTTGGAAAACTACCAGCCCGGGGCACCATGCATGGAGATTGCATTCACCTCAGCCCAAACGAGTCTTCTTTCGCAGATGCGCTCATCCATGCTGAAACTCGCATGGTATTCCTTGGCCTGGATAAATGTTCCGGCATTGGAGTTGAGTGTGGATCTCAGGTGGGTCATCCCGAGCTGGGTCATGTTGAGGCCTTGGAGGCCACTATCCCAACCAACGTTGAACTGAGTGGACTCAGGCCACTATCCCCCGCTAGGTTCTGAGGGTAGACAGACCATTTCTTCACTGGTTGTGTTGATTGGAGCACCAGTGAAGATGAACCGAATCTATTGTAAACAAGAAGTAGGTTCATTGCAAACTGCTTGGGAGGCGGGGCAGTAGCTCAGTAGCCGCTCCCATCTACATATAGTTGTTGTGGTAAAATCAGTGATTCTTCTTCAGGAAAGTATGGCATATGTTTCTTTTCATGCAACAACCGGTCATTGGCTGTAGTTCATCATTTGGCCTTGTTCGGAGATTGGCGTTCGACTCGGCTTTCCAAGACTCGAAGCCGCCGCTAAGCCAAGCTGCCCAGTTTGTACGAGGGGAGACCAACATCCACGAAGCCATTCTATTTTGGAAATAAACACAGCTAATTTTACTGCACTGGAGTGAGCCATTGGACTGAGAGCCAAGTCTAGTTTCGCCAGAAAAAGATCCTTTGAGGATTGCACCATGTGGAACACTAGGTGAAAAACACAATCTGACTTGAACAGAGTAGGTAATTTGAGATACACCCATTGACAGCACCAGAAGTCAAAGGAGAGGACCCCGTGGGCAGTAGTGGTCGTATGTAATGGTGAAGACGGTGAGAAATGTTTGTTAGATGCTTCGCCTTTGGTTCATGAAATGATGTCGTCGCTGTGGCCCAGGCCCTGCTTACAACTTTGCATACTTCATCCAGTCTTTTTACCAAGAAAGGAGTGTGGAGGCACGGTCGGCCTGTGGCTAGCCTTAAGTCGTGTCACTGTGCTCACACGACTTACCAGCTCACAGTAAGCCCGTAGAATCTCGAATGTTCCTCGTTTTGATTGCCATTAGCTGCTGTACCTGTATTTCTCCAAGTATGTGTGGGCTCATTCATTGTTTGGGCCCAGGTTTGGGCTTTTGCCTTAGCATTGGTGATCAGTACTTCCATATCTCAGAACTTTGATGCCCACTCCTCACCAAAAGCCAAAGTGAAAGAGGGCCGTTCTGATGGGCCGGCATACGGGCCCATCAGCAAAAAAATGTGAAGTCCTCGCTTGAACTCCGTTCATTTGCACTGATCACTTCGTTTGAGCTCCATGTGTCCACCGGACATGGATCCATTGTCCACCGGACCGCCATCCCGCTGTGTGTGTGTGTGTTTGTTTGGGCCCCCTTTTGCTCCTTTTTGCAGCGAGCATGGTAGCGCATGGGAGGAACATAGGAGGATTTTTCGTGGGACACCAGTGGCACTTTGGTGCGATGCATACTGACCAGCGCAAAAACCAGCACCTTGACCAGTCTCGTGCTGAATTGCTGCGGTGCCAGGAACTAGCCACCGGGACAATTTCCATCCGCGGGCCCTTCGATGACACCGTGCTGCAGACGCTGGGCTTGCGGCAAAACGGGATGAATTGGTTCGACGAAGTGACGGAGGTGCTGGTGCTCGGGCTTCAGGTTTTGGCCTTGGGCAGGTCTTTCAAGTGCTCTGGTCAATAGGTTTGCACGTGGTCGGGGCACGGCTCATGTGTGGTTGGATTGGGCTTGTTGGTGCAAGCTCAATGATTCTTTGATTGTTTTGTTTTAATGTGTTGCCTATTTGCTGAACTTGCTGCTCAGCAGCAAGTGGCAGGTGCAGCAGCGCTGGGTCCAATAAAGGAAAACGATCATAAGAGTCATCACAAGAGTCATGTGAGTTTGTGGTTTCCACGATTTGGAGAATGGAAAATCCGACCTCCTCCAAGACCATCAGATTGGAGCTTTCTACAACCAGACAAAAGAAACAGGATGGATACCCCGTTTGGGGCATCAGGTTTCTGATTGACAGCTTTGTTTGCCAGACTTGTTTCAAGTCAGGAAGCTTCGGGTGCAAAAGACATGAGACCTGGGCACCATTTGGGCACGACAAAGCTCAATTCGTGGTGCAGCATCCAGAGTGAAGAAAGCGATACGACCAAGAGCCGCCTGAGGATCTTGCAGACCACTATCGAGCAGACGCTGAAGGCGTTCTGCGCTCAAAGAGCCTCAGCTGCGTTCAACCCGGTTTGGGTCCAAAACTGCGTTGGGCAGTCCGATGGCGAGACTGAAAAATGTGAGGCGGTAGAGGTTTCAAGCAGAAACAACAAAGACTGTTTGCAATATCACCTGGATTATGCATAACACAAGCAGCACAAGGGTTTTCCTCAGCAAGCGAAAAGCACTTTCTATGGGTAATGTGGGTGTGTTTGTTACCATGTTTGGTTGGGGGCATTCTTGGAGATGTTCCTTTGGTAAAGTAATCTTCGAAACAATGTTACAACCTCCTTGTACAGACACCTGCAAGCCCACAAGCAGAAGAGGTTAGTAATTGTATATCCTGTGTTCAATCCCTTTTGTATTTTGTCCATGTTTAGTTAAGGTGGTTGGTTGTTGTTTCTTTCACGATGTGGTCTACCACGTGGACTACCTATTTGAGCTGTGGGAATTTTGCTCACGCAACCAATTGGGTGACGAGGGGGGTGATTAATTATACATGATACAACATGATACAACATTCAATTTCATCCAGAAATGGAAGAACATCCGGTCCTTCTTCTTAGGGGGGCCTTGGGTCCTCCAATCCTGTGGGTGAAACAAAGACTATGGCGAGAGTGTTTGCATCTATACGTATAATTACATGTGTGTATATATATATATATGTTTATCTGGAGGGTGGGTGTGCTTGGGAGAGCACACACTAGCTCAAAACCCTTAGAAAACACTGTAAATACCGTGCAAAATTTCAAAAACTGCTCTGAGAACTAGGCGAAACGCAATTTTTTGGATCTGTCTGTGCCCAGTCTCCATGTCCAATGTCAATGACAACAAATAACAGCTCTTCGTCTGCCCACTATCAATGTGCAACACCAATGATAAATATTATCGTGTAAATCTCTCTCTGCCCACAATGAATGTAGCATCATGAGCGAATGAAGATATAATACTATACATCTCTAGATTCAATAGCTTTCCTCTGGATCTCTGGGAAAGTAGATTTCCTAGATTTGTGTATTTTCATTGAAGGAAAGCATTTGAAAGAAACACTTACATACATACTTATAGCTTTTTTAAAATACCATGACTATTTCCAGAGATCCAGAGGAAAGCTTTTGAAATGAAAGCTTTATATTTTTTCACAGAAGTGATCAGATCTAGAGGGAACCTTTTGAATTAGAAGTTTGTACATAAAGCAGTTTTAATATAGCAATGAATATTCCAAGGGATTACTTTAAACAAATACTATCTACTCAAAAACATAGTTTGTGTCTTATTCCCAGCACTCCTAGGGCAAAAAACACTGTAAAATATAGGGTGTTGTAACATGTGTGTTCTTAAACTAACTAAACTGGAATTAAAATAGAATTAGGCAAACTTAAATTAGAAGATTTCAATCAAGATCCTTTTAACATTGATTGTGGAACTTGCTATTTATTAGATATTAGATTGCAATAAAAATCATTGCCAAGTTCTCTTTAAAACTCATTGTGGAAACTAGTTCTTACAATTAGATTTTAGTCAAAGTCCTTTTCAAAGTTAGTGGTGGCTTTGATTTAGTATCAGATTGTGTTTAAAGTCGATTTAAGATCAATTGTGGAAATTGTGATGCTTAACTAACTTGAATTGATTTTGTATCTGTTTGCTCCCCACTACAAGGCTACATCAAATAAAAGGACTTTAACTAACATCTAATTATAAGAATTGATTTCCACCATTAACTGTTAACTGAAAGTTAATTTTCACAATCAATTCTAAAAGGGTCTTGATTGATATCCAATACACAAACAATTCAATCAAATTATGTTGAAAAGAACATAATTTAAATCTAAACAACAAACAATTTCCACAATGATTTTGAAAAGGACATTAATTGACATTTAAGTAATGCCTAATTTCTACAATGAAATATAATAGGATTTTAATTGAAATCTAAGTCAAAATCAATTGCCACAATGATCTTGAAAAGGCATTTAATCGAAATTGAATTACACATTCATTTTTCTATAATTAATCTTGAAGAAATGTTAATTGAAATCTAATATAAACATCAATGTCCCCAATGATTTTGACAATGATATAAATGAAACTTAGTTTGTAAAAAAATTACAGTTAATCTTAAACACATTGTTAATAGAAAGCTAATGATACATCAACTTCCACCAATAATTCTGAAAGCGTTTTAATTGAAGTCTAATACCAAAATCAATTGAAATCCAATTTAACATCAAATTCCACCGTTAAACTTAAATGAAGCAAAAACACTGTGTTTTACAGTGATTTCTTGCAAAATCCTCTCCAAAATTGAGGTTTTGAGCTATTTTTTGATCAATTTTGTGAGATCCAAGCCTATCCCAATTTAGAGGGAATACCAAAAAACCAAGAAACCAATAAACCAAAAAACCAAAAAAAACAAAAAAAAACAATGTTTGAGACAAAATGGGGTCACTATTGGTTTTTGGATGTTGGCTGCATTTTGTGTCAAACATTGGTTTTTTTGGTGTTTTGGTTTTTTGGTTTTTTGGTATTCCCTCTAAATTGAGATATGCTTGGATCTCACAAAATTGATCAAAAAATAGCTCAAAACCTCAATTTTGGAGAGGATTTTGCAAGAAATCACTGTAAAACACAGTGTTTTTGTATCATTTTTTGCATGAAAAACATCTCCCAGGAGCACCCGTTCTGTTTATTATTTGGGTGGGGTTCCAACCGCTAAGGGCTGATTGTCAGATGATACGCCGTGGATCTTCACTCATAAATTAAGGAAAGGTACTGGCCTATCACGCTGACAGACAGATAACCATTTGAGTTGAAAAGATAAACCCGGTAAATCCCGGTAATATGTATTAAGTAAGGAAGGTTCCCATAGGTTCAGAAATAGCTTGGCCACCGCTTGGTATTCTGTTGCTTAACTTGGAGATGCTACCTTGTCGTGCTAGCAAAACGCTGGGTTGCGCTGGGTTTGGCGCTGGATTCAGGTACTTAGGTAAGATTAGCAAACAACACATACATACATTAGGAATTAAACTCAAGGTTTTTTTTCCGGCGGTGCGCTCAGAGTGTTTGCCGGAGCACCGTGTTTACCAGGATCGATTTTAATCTTCACCGAGCACGAGGCAGAACGGAGTTCGGGCCGTTGTGGTGGAGGGATGTCGGGTCTCATCCGGTGTCGGCACATGGAGGCTGAAAGCTCGAAGTCTGGGAGGTGAAGATCGCCGGAAAAGAAGACTCGGTGCCGATTTCGGGTGTGTCGATTTCGGATCACCCACACACCATCACGCTTTGTGCTTGAACGCCACATGAGACAGAGAGACCAGGGGGACTGGAATCGTTTTGACCATTTCTCGCTCAGAAATACATAAGAAAGTTGAAACCAACTGCACCCCGACGAAGCCATGGAAGTGAATAGCATGGCCCTGAAAGGAAGACTACGAAATCCGAATGCCAAAAAGGCGAACCTGTACCTATGCCCCCCAAAAGGCGCCGATGAAAGCCCGACTCGGATTGGGGCCGTGACTTCGAGGACGGCCCTCCTTGGAAATCCGTTGCTCCGGTCCTTTTTCCGGATCGTTTCTTTCGTGAAACACCCGGCGGAGATGGACCGAGACGGACACGGCAGGTGTCCCGAACCGGCGATACGGCGATACGACTTCCCTTCCGCCAGGTCGTGAGTTCCGGAGGCAACGGAATTCGGTGTGCGCCGTTCTGGAAAGAAGAGAAAGAAGTCTTTGATTCCTAAGGTCCTAATAGTGCCTAAGGTCTTTGAGGTCCTCATGCCTTGAGCTGGTCCTCTGGAGCCTCGGGTCATTTTTTGTGTTGTTTTTTCCTCCTTTTGATTCCTTCTTCTTTTGCCTTTCGAGTAGATGCGTTGCAACATCGAGTAGATGTGGATTCGCAGCAATGTCGGCATGAAAATTCCTGCAGCTTTAAGCTGCTTCTTTTCGTGCAGCAACTTCGTAAAAGGAAGGGCTCAACAAGACCACATGACACCAAGAGCTACTAGTAACAGGTGCATCGGTACTAGTAACAAGAAGCTACTAGTAGCTTCTACTAGTAGAAATGCCCTTGTTAGTAGCAGCAACGTCGCATCGTCCTTGTTACTCCAAATGTTTCGTCGCCCTCGGGTGTTCTTTCGTCCTGAAAAGCCCCCAGCCTTGGCCACAAACGCTGGCCATTCACAGCGTTTCGGTCAGACAACCAGCGATTCCTGACCCTGGAGTTCCAAATCCTTCCGCCTAGAGATGGAGGTTTGGGGGCCCCAGGAGAAGCTGTTGGGCGATCGATGGTGTGGACATGCGTGGACTGTAGACACCAAGAATGGAAAGAGTGGAAAGATCGGGGATGGACTCATGGACCTATGAATGTGTTAAATTGTTTCACCCAGACGCGACCCTGGACCCTCCTAAGTAGGGGCCGTAACCTCATATGGAGCGGTCCGGACCCTCAAATCCCTATGGTTTTGAGGGACCAAGGACTGTTTGGAGTGTCTGGGCAGTTGGACATCATTGGATTGGCTGTTGAAACCCTATGTGACAGGAAGACATGTGTCGACATGAGCTTGACTGAGTCACTTGCTTCCTTCCGACCAATGGGTGGGATTTCGGACTCGAGTCTTCCAGGCGTCCACCAGTTCTCTAATGTATATAGACTCTTGATGATTTTTCAACTCCCCCTAGGCTTGAAGAGGTTTTACAATCCATGTTTGCGGGGGGCATTCATCAAGAGTCCACCAGTCTCGCCCGGATCCACACGAAATGCTGACGAAACCGGATCTGGGATCCACCTGAGGTGGCGACTGTGCCTGGCAATCCCGTGCTTGTTGAACTTCGGATCCGCGCAACACCAACACGCGGGCGGCACGCGCATTCCGTGGATAGAGAATAACGAATGTTGATGAACCAAGCCCCCCATTTGGATTGAAAAACATCTTCATCATGGGTGTGTTGTTATCAAAAGTCTACATGATGTCATCGGAAAGAAGTTGATCTGTTCAGGGCGTCTCGCGAGAGCTCAGGGAAAGAAAGGCCTCAAAGTCAGCTTTGAGTGCGTGATGTTGGATGTTTGATGTTGGATGACGGATGTTTAATCCAAGAACTGCCAAATCTGTGAATCAGCAGATGGGATCGGTAGCTGGGAGCCATTGCTGT